ACTGTTGTCCTCTCTGTTGGGGTTGTGGTCTCTACAGGAGTTGTGGAGGTCTCAGGAAAAGTTGAGGTGGCTACAGCTGTGCTCCCAGGTTCTGAAGTTGTAAGAAGGGGAAGCGTGGTTGTCTCTTCACTTCTAGTGCTACTAGTCATTGCTGTAGATTCAGCTGAGGAAGACGTCTCTAGAGGAGAGGTGGAGGTTATTCCTATGGTAGAGGTGGCTGCAGCAGTGGTTTCAGGTTGTGAAGTGCTAAGAAGGGGAAGGGTGGTTCTCCCCTCTATTGTGGTAGTACTAATTATTGCTGTAATGTCAGCTGCAAAAGTAGACTGTAGAGGAGAGGTGGATATTTCTCCTATTGTAGATGTGACTGCAGCTGTGTTTTCAGATTGTGAAGTTGGCGGGAGGAAGAGTGTGGTTGTCTCTTCCACTGTAGTCGTACTTGTTGTTATTGTCATCTTTGTTGGGGATGTGGTCTCTACAGGAAATGTGGATGTTTCTGGTAAGGTAATGGGGGCTACAGCTCTGGTCCCAGTTATTGTGCTGGTAGGAGGAAGAACTGTTGTTGTCTTCTCTACTGTAGTGGTAGTAGATATTGCTGTAGTCTCTGCTGGTGAAGTCATCTCTAGTGCAGCTGTGGAAATCTCTGGAATAGTAGAGATATCTATTATTCTGCTCCCAGGTAGTGTAGTCATAGGTAGAGGAACTGCGGTTTTCGCCTCCATTGTAGCAGTGCTAGTTATTGCTGGAATTTCAACTACAGATGTCATCTCTAGAGGAGAGGTGGATGTTTCTCCTATCGTAGACCGGGCTAAAGGTGTGTTTTCAGATTGTGAAGTGGTAGAAAGGGAATGTATCGTTGTCCCCTCTATCGTTTTCGCACTCATTATTGCTGTAGTCTCAGCTGGGGAAGTATTATCTAGAGGAGCTGTGGAGGTCTCTGGAATAGTTGAGGTGGCCCTAGCTATGCTCCCAGGCAGTGTAATCGTAGGAAGAGTAATTGTAGTTATCCCCTCTATCGTAGTAGTACTAGTCATTGCTGTAGTTTCAGCTGCAGGAGTCGCCTCTAGAGAAGAGGTGGATGTTATTCCTATGGTAGAGGTGGCTGCAGTTGTGCTTTCAGGTTGTGAAGTTGTAGGGAGGGAAAGTCTCATTGTCTCTTCGTTTGTAGTGGTAGTAGTTATTGCTGTCATGTCAGCTGGAGGCATGGTCTCTATAGATGTGGATGTCTTTAGTATAGTATTGGTGGCTGTGGTCCTAAGAAGTGAAGTTGTAGGAAGAGGAAGTGTTGTTGTCTCTTCTACTGTAGTGGTATTAGTCATTGCTGTAGTCTGAGGTGCAGATGTGGTCTCTGGAGGAGATGTGGATGTCTCTGGAATAGTGGAAGTAGCTGCAGCTGTGCTCTGAGGTAGTGAAGTGGTAGGAAGAGCAACAATGGTTGTCCCCTCTACTGTCCTGTTACCAAGTAATGCTGTAGTCTCACCTGGGAAAGTCGTCTCTAGCGGAGATGTGGACGTTTCTGTTGTTGCAGAGGTGGCTGCAATGGTCATAACAGACGTTGAACTAGCAGGCAGATTGATTGTGGTTGGCTGTGATGTGGAAGTGCTAATTAGCGCTGTGGGCTCAGCTAGGGAGGAGGTTGGACGAGCAGAAGTGGATGTCTCTGCTAATGTAGAGGTAGCTGCAGTTTTAGTCTCGGCTGTGGAAGTGGTCACTGGGGCTGCGGTGATGGATTCTGCTCCTGTTGTGAGATACGTTGCTGTGGTCCCAGGTTTGTTTGGGATCACGGGAGCTGCTGCTTTGGTGGTACTCTCTAAAGTTGTACTTTTGGTGGTGGTGGTGGTAGTTTTAACCACAGGAGTTGTATGTGTTGTTGTGACATTATTATCTTTTTTTTGTTCCACTGGCTTAACGGTTTTCTGGTAGATTACTTCAGTTATTTCATGATCTGTGTAGAGAAATGTATCTCAGGTATACTATTATATATATATGTTCTTACACCACATATTGAGTGTGTATCCAAGCAATATATATACTGATAATATATCATCAGTGTTAACATACATAGAGTTTGCTTTACTTTTGAAGATGGAAGCATTTTCTCTCCAGTTCTGAATTTTTTCCATCTATATTTCTCACAACTTACATGTTGAACATATATAAGAGAGTAATTCTGTAGTTTGCTCTAGAATACTTTTTGCATTTCCTACTCTCTGGACCTCATTCTCAGTTACACGAACGAATCTATACACTACTCTTGGAGTGGTTGTAACTGTAATTTTCACTCTCATTCATAGCTTCATATATTGCAAGGCCAGAGTGGACCTCTACTCTGACCTCCTGTAGGCCATAGAACTTCCCCAAAATAATTCCTTTTGAAATAGAGAATAACTTAAATAAAAAAATCTTACCTTGATTTTAAAATTGCCAAGGGTGTTGTATCCACCACAACTCTTGGTAAATTTTCCCAAAGGCTAATTATTCTAGTTTTTTAAAATGTACATGTTTTTTCCCATCTGAATTTGTCTAGGTTCAACTTCGAGCTGCTGGATCTTGTGATGCTTTCGTTTGCTCTAAAGCCCTTTATCAAATATTTGTTCCCAAGGCAGGTCCTTATAGATTGAGGGGTGACTTGACCACAACCTTTTCTTTGTTAAGCTGAATAGATTTTGCTCACTGAGTCTTTCATATCAAGGCATGTTTTCTAATTTTTAATCATTGTCTGGGCTTTTCTCTGACCCCTCTCCAGTTTACCAACATCCTTCTTGAATTGTGGGCACCAGAACTGGACACAATATTCCAGCAACAGTTGCACCAATGCCAAATACAAAAGTAAAATAACCTGAGCATGCCTCCTGGACTGGGCCCCTCAGGTGCATTCACACAAAACAGTTCTTGCGAGGGAGAGTAGGCAGTCCTCCCTCATAACTTTATAGCTCTGTGGTTCGGTTACTCACCTGGGATGTGGGAGACATACGGTTGTGCTCTGGATAAATAATTAAAGAGTCATCTAGGCCCAGGGACTGCATCCTGGGTCTTCCCCATCCTGGCTAATGTGCACTTGCGTGCTCTCGATCTTCCTATCTCATTCTGAGTTATTTGGGCCACAGAAAGAGAGAAAGCACACGAGAACAACTCTATACCCTGGTGGATATCATTTTAAGGAACCTCTCCCCCCTCATTCATTGTATAACAGCCTAGGTACCTAACTCAGGTTTTGTGAATCTCAGTGACTTTCTAACTGCCTAAAAGTTCGGTGGTGTGACGCTCAGCCTCACCATGCCTAACTCCTTTTGTGCATTCAGACCATGTTTTTTAAGCATGAGTACTCCCATTGACATCAGCAAGACGACTCACTTGCTTCAGTGCTTTGCTGAAAAGGGACAGACTTAATCATATGCTTAATGTTAAGCACATACTCCATTTCAGGTTTATAAGCAATTACTGTAAATGAGAAAAAGGTACCAAGAAAAATTGGGACAATTGCCATTCCAATCCCTTTTTTATATCAGTTTGTATCCCCTCCCCCTCACATGATTTCTGTTAACGAACAACCTGAAAGACGGGTTGAGTTGAGCAGACGCCGTCATTAAAATAAGATACTCCCATCTGTTCTATTTATTTTTCTTTTATGTTCACCTTTCTCTAGTTTCCTATATATATGAAAATTCTAAATTTCACTACATATATCCCAAATAATATCTGGCTACTGTAGGTAGCAGGGCACCTTCACTTTTGCTGTATTCAAAATACCTCCATTCTAACAGGATAATAACAGATAGAAACCATTTGTTTCTTTCAATCTGAAAGGATAAACAAGAGGAAAATAATGCCCTTACTTGTCAATGCAGCTGTGGTAGGTGAAAGCGACGTTGTGGTCGTCACAGAGATGGCTGCTGTTGTTTCTCCTCTGATAGGGACGCCCAGAGAGGTTGTGGTCTCAGCCGGAGAAGTTGTAAAAAGGGCACCTGTCGTAGTTCCCTGTCGTGTAGTGGAGGTGTAACTTGTTGTGGTCTCTGTAGGGGTAGTGGTGATTGGCGCTGCTGTGCTTCTCTCTGCTGCTGTAGCAATGGGTGATGTGTTAGTAGTCTCTGCTAGAACAGTGGTGACAGGGGATGCTGTGGGTGTCCCCAGTTCTGTAGTGGTGCCCAAAGCTATTGGGATCTCAGATGGGGAATTGGTCTCCAGAGCAGATGTGGATGTTTTAGGACCTGCTGTGGTGGGAGACAGTGTCACTGTGGTCTCAGCCGGAGAAGTCACTGTAACAGCAACTGTGGATGTCTCTGCTAAAAAGGAGGTGACTGCACTTGTGGTCGCGGTGGGATAAGTGACAAGAAGGGCAGCTGTGGGTGTCTCCACTTCTCTAGAGGTGCTGGGAATTCTTGTGGTCTCAGAGGGAAAACTTGTCTCAAGACGGACTGTAGGTGTCAACGGTAAAATAGAAGTGACTCCAGCTGTGGTCTCGGTGCGGGAAGTGGCCACAGGAGTTGGTGTGGGGATAGCCAGTGAAGTGGTAGCTTCAATTGGGGAAGTACCTGGAAGGAAAATTGTGGTTTTCTCCTCAACTATAGTGGTTCTAGGTAATTCCATAGTCTCAGCTAGGATAGTGGTCTCTAGAGGAGCAATAGAGGTCTGTGGAACAGAAGAGCCAGCTGCTGCTGTGCTCTGAGGTAGTGTAGTAGTAGGAAGACTAATTGTGGTTATTTCTTCTAAAGGTGTGCGACTAGTCATGGCTGTAGTTTGAACTGGAGACGTAGTCTCTAAAACAGAGCTGAATGTCTCTCCGATGGTAGAGGTGGCCAAAGATGTGCTCTCAGCTCTAGTGATGGTCAGAGGAGGAACTGTGGTTGTCTTTTCTACTGTAGTGGTAGTAGATAGAGCTGTAGTCTCTGTTGGAGAAGTGGTCTCTAGTGGAGCTGTGGAGGACTCTGGAATAGTTGAAGTGGCTATAGCTGTGCTCCCAGGTTCTGAAGTTGTAAGAAGGGGAAGCCTGGTTGTCTCTTCACTTCCAGTGCTACTAGTCATTGCTGTAGTTTCAGCTGCAGACGACGTCTCTAGAGGGGAGGTGGAGGTTATTCCTATGGTAGAAGTGGCTGCAGCAGTGGTTTCAGGTTGTGAAGTGCTAAGAAGAGGAAGGGTGGTTGTCCCTTCCATTGTAGAAGTACTAATTATTGGTGTAGTCTCAGTTGGGGAAGTGGTCATTAGCGTAACTGTGGTGGTTTCTGGAGCAATTGAGGTGGCTGCAGCTGTACTCGCAGGTACTGTAGTCGTGGGATTAGGAACAGTGGTTGTCACCTCTATGGTAGAAGTACTACTTACTGCTGTAGTTTCAGCTGAAGTAGTAGTCTGGAAAGCTGAGTTGGATCTTTCTGCTGTGGTAGAACTGGCTACAGCTGTGCTTTCAGCTTGTGAAGTTCCAGGGAGGGAAGGTGTGGATGTCACTTCAGCTCCAGTGGTACTAGTTATTGTTGTCCTCTCTGTTGGGGTTGTGGTCTCTGCAAGAGTTGTGGAGGTCTCAGGAAGAGTTGAAGTGGCTACAGCAGTGCTCCCAGGTTCTGAAGTTGTAAGAAGGGGAAGCGTGGTTGTCTCTTCACTTCTAGTTCTACTAGTGATTGCTGTAGTTTCAGCTGCAGAAGACGTCTCTAGAGGAGAGGTGGAGGTTATTCCTATGGTAGAGGTGGCTGCAGCAGTGGTTTCAGGTTGTGAAGTGCTAAGAAGAGGAAGGGTGGTTGTCCCTTCCATTGTAGAAGTACTAATTATTGGTGTACTCTCAGCTGGGGAAGTGGTCATTAGCGTAAGTGTGGTGGTTTCTGGAGCAGTTGAGGTGGCTGCAGCTGTACTCGCAGGTACTGTAGTCGTGGGATTAGGAACAGTGGTTGTCACCTCTATGGTAGAAGTACTACTTACTGCTGTAGTTTCAGCTGAAGTAGTAGTCTGCAAAGGTGAGGTTGATCTTTCTGCTGTGGTAGAACTGGCTACAGCTGTGCTTTCAGCTTGTGAAGTTACAGGGAGGGAAGGTGTGGATGTCACTTCAGCTCCAGTGGTACTAGTTATTGTTGTCCTCTCTGTTGGGGTTGTGGTCTCTGCAGGAGTTGTGGAGGTCTCAGGAAGAGTTGAAGTGGCTACAGCAGTGCTCCCAGGTTCTGAAGTTGTAAGAAGGGGAAGCGTGGTTTTCTCTTCACTTCTAGTGCTACTAGTCATTGCTGTAGATTCAGCCGAGGAAGACGTCTCTAGAGGAGAGGTGGAGGTTATTCCTATGGTAGAGGTGGCTGCAGCAGTGGTTTCAGGTTGTGAAG